CACTGACCTGACTGGTGAACACATATCCAGCCTCCTTGTCCTCTCTCACCTTTTCAAGTCATAATGCTTTTGAAGCTATGAGCACAAACTATGAAGGGTGGAAAAAATCATCTTGATAGTAGATGGGTTTGCTGTAAGAGAAGTGCCTCTCACTTGGGGCTTTAATTGAGTTTCAGTTGGAGTGGGATCAGAGGACCAAAAATGGTGCAGCTCAGCAAGAAAAGGACAGGAACACTAGTCAGCAGTCTGCCAGAGGCTTCTGTTATTTTTCAGGGGAGTAATCTTAGGAGTGTCTGTGGAGCTGATCTACAAGGGTATTGTCCCTTAAACAATACAAAGGTATTGTCCCTTAAACTGAGGTGAAACCAGGTTCCCTCAAGTTTAATCCAATAGGATCAGGGACAAATAAAAAGTTGTTTTAAACCCATCATTATAGAGAAAATACATCTACAATTGGCATCTGATGGGAACAGCTGAACATGTCAGCACTGTTGGTGGGTGTTGGTTGGTGCCCACAGTGTGGGACAGCCCAGTGCATGAGGGTGTTCTGGGGCAGAGCCAGCAAGGTTCCTGTCAGGCACCAGCCACTGTCATCTCCACTGAAGCAACCAGATTTGCACAGAAAAAGGCAGCTGCCATTCATCATCCTGCCAAGCTCTGCCAGGCAGCAGTTAAGCAAAATAAAGGGCCATAAGATTTTATACCGCTCTGGGCACATGGATATGTTTCTCCTCTAAGAGGTGGCCCTTAAATCAGAGCAAGGTGTTCCCCAGAGAAGAACCAGGGGACAGTAGGAGCTTGCAGGGTCATGAAGGTTCAATCTGGTTCCTCCAGCCAAGCTGGTGTCACTTCAGAGTGAGTGGCTTGAGGGCTTTTCTGTAAGAATAACCTTTTTTCTTGGCAAGGGGCTGAGGAAAGCATTTCTGTGGGTGGGCAGTGGGGGGACGTGCACTGGCACCAGTGCCAGCCCTGCCACAGGGGCTCCCTGCACTCCTCAGAAGCCTCCATCTGACCACCTCCTTTAAGGATACCTTAAGATCAGCCCCAGTGGCACAGGATGACACTCAGGGGTGCCCTTTATTTTGTATTTGTGGCACTACCTAAGCATCAGCTTCCCTAGGTTTATTTTTTGACTTTATAACCACAGGCTAGATGACTTTCCTTTATCTTTACAAAAATGTAGAGCCAATTTAATATGGATGGGGATTACAAAGCTGAGCAAGGAAGTCTGTAGCTGAAGCCCTATAATCTGGAAGGTTACATGCTGGAGAGCATCCCTGACAGCTGGATTTAGAAAAACTACCAGCTATCACAAATGGTAACAGTGGCAGGAGCTCCTCAAGCCCAGAGCTGAGTGGTGATGTACGTACAGCCCTGCCCAGCTTTGACTCTGCCTTATCTTTCCTATTAGTCCCTTAAAAAGATCAAGACAAATATTTGTGTGTCCTGGGTTGAGCCAGGATAGAACCAATTTTCTTTCTAGTAACTCTTCTTTCTGTTAAGTCTGTTCTAAGGAGCTGTGCTTGCTGAAATTACCAGTGTGTTTTTCAGCCAGTGTCTGCTCCTAGGACTGATGTCCCTTCATGCTTAGAGTCACTGCTGGACCATGGTGTGCAGAACCAAGGTCACTACTGGGGTCTGCAAAACATCTTACACTCCAGAAGCAAATGGGAGTAAAGGGGTCACACCTGGGACCAGACAGGTGACCAGAACTGACCAAACACACCATTCCATCCCATATGTATCATAGTCAGGATAAACGGGAAGGATCACACGGGTTAAGCTCTTTGTCCCTGTCCAGTGTTCCGAGGGGACTCTGTTCATCTGCCTTTGATCTCGATGTGTGCATTCCTGAATCCCTGTGTTTCTGCACCCAGTTCCCATCTGCTGCTGCCTCCAGTAGCCAAGTCTGGGACTTTCCCAGGGTCTGCCCTGCAGCCTCAGTGCTGATGTGAGTGTTGTTGGCAGGGGACAATAGTAGCTTTGTATAAATTTGTGTGTATATATATGTATTTATAAATTCCCTTACTTTCCTTGTCACCATGAAAGCCGTGCAGCTTAGTTTCCAGCCTATCAGTCCCTCTCCTTTATTCTCTCTCCTGTCCCCTCTAGGGAAAGGGAGAAGGGTTCATAGAGAGCATCTGTCAGGGGTTTAATTGCTGGCTGCGGTTAAACCAGGGCCCTGTGCTCCTGTCTCCCAGGTGACAGCTGTACCATGGCAGACTACAGCCGGCTGAAGAACATCCTGCTGGACCTGCAAGCCCATCGGCACAGCCCCCCAGCCCAGGACAGGGTCTCCCAGAAGCGTCTCTTGGTGGAGGAAATGTTTCAGCACTTGGATGGGAACGGCGACGGGCACCTCAGCGCCTCGGAACTGGCTCAGGTGGGTTGGTCGTTGGGTAATAATGGGATTGGGAAGGGAGTTTTTCATTCCAAGTGTGAATGGAATGTGACTCAGCAGCACCCTGGTGAGAACAGTGGCTTGTGGCTGTCCTGCCAGCAGCACAGGTAAGGGAGGGAAACCTCCTGCAGTGCCCCAGCCTCTCTCTGCACCTCTGGGGAGACTGTGCTGTCCCCAGCATGTGAAGTTCCTCTATGAACAGAAAGCCTGGCAGCTTTCCAGCCCCATCCATGCTCCTGAAATCATATACCAATCCTTGCTGCTAACCATCACCTTCTGAAGTCTCTCCAGCTAGCCTGCTTGAGGAGAATTAATTTGGATGTCTTTAGATGTATGTTAGTTGGGGCAAAATCTCTCATTTCCTTCTCCCTGTCTTCTGTGCTTTGCATTAGCATGTAGTAACATGACAGCAAAGTTGCAGCAGTTTTTAATGGGTTTATTTCCCCAGAATCCATAGGCACATGCTAGAATATAGATTAGCAAAATTTGACAATGTTAGAAAAGATGGGAGCTTGAAAAAACCAGTTATTTCTAGTGATGGCCACGCTGTGCTGTTCAGATTCCTCGAATTAGTAAAGTGAATGGAACGTGCAGCCCAGGCATTTGAGCTCATTGCTCTGTGTCCTGAACCTGCTCTTTGCACATGCAGGCCTGACCAGACCATCCTCTAAATATGGGAAAACCCATTATGGCAGTTGTGGGAAGACCTTGTCTTCTCCATTTCATTGCATTGTCTGTGAGAAGAATTAGAAGCAAACTCCTTTCAAGAGCCTTTTGGAAGCCAGTACCTGCCTGGGAGCTGTTCCAGTTTCCCAAGCTGGCCTTTCACCCTTTGCTCTGCAGGAACATCTCGTCTGCACTCCTGTGTCCCCACGAACATGAAGGATGATGCAGTTGCAGCGTGTCAGTGCAAGCTGTGAGCAAGAAGGAGGACAGGCACAAGCTCTCTCCTCCCTCTTCTTGCACTTCTGTAGGGTGGCTTGCTCTGAATTTTAATCCTCTGGCTGTTGACATGACGCATGATCCCTCTTGCACAATGCAAAGTGTCAGTGTAAATTCCCTTAGATCTCAGAGATATTAATATATACAATGCCTCATCTAAATGCCATGATTTTTTTTAATAAAGACATGGTAGATAGAAAACACTTTTATCTGAATTCAAAGCCAGCTTTTGCATGGTAATATCTAAGTGTATGTTCTATTCTCCCATTTTTTTCTCCTTTTTACATGAAGCTTATTCTGCCAGGATATTAAAACTCAACTCACATGGAAATCAAGGCTTGGCAGCCTGCAAGCCATTAGCATCAGCATTAGGAAGAAACAATGACCTGCATTTTAACAGAGCAGGATTCAGTGCTCTAAGGTCTGCTGCCAAGTTACTCTGAGCTTCCTTTGCAGATGTGCTTGGAGCCCAGGTCTCTCACAAGAGCAGGCATAGACTTTGGCTGGTGTTCTTTTAATTCTTCTCACTGTTGTCAAAACGGGTAAAAGTGGTTGCACATCTGGAGCCTGTTTCAGTTTGATGGACCAAAAGCAGCTCAGCCCTCAGCTCAGAGCCCTCTCACCCAAACACCCTGCACAAAGGCTTGTCAGCAGCATTGCTGGCAGCACAGTCACCTCTCAGAAGACAAAATGATGCTACTTAATGCAGAATACAGATAAACCATGAGTATCTTAATCCTGAGCAGAGTGACACTGATCTGGGGCCCCTTGGTGGAAGTGTAGCTGAAACCCTGACCAGGACCTGTCTGCAGGGCAGCTCTGGGGCTCTCACAGACGCAGGTTCACAGTTTACATGTAATATGACAATTCTTTATTTTTCTTGTTAGCTTTAACAACCAAATGATTTTCATGTGAATAAACATATGACCAATTTACTCATCCAGATTTCAAGAGAATTTTTTCAGGTTATGAGCAATTTTTAGCTTTCCATGTTATCATCTGAATTGAACTTTTCTTGCCTGGTTGGGTACTTTGTGATTGATTTGCATTGGCCCTTTAATTTGAAGCTCTTTGCAACTTAAGAATTCTCCCAAAGATGGGAATTTTGTTGCCCATGGGTAGATGCAGCTGAATTGAACATGGTGCAGTGGGATCTTGTTCTCTCTGGCTCCTGGATGAGCTGCTGCTGTGCATTTTCTTTGTTCTATTTAAAGGAAAAATAGTCTCTCGAGCACTATAACCTTGTCTGCAAGGAAAAACTCGAGCCAGGTAATGTGCACTGCTGCAGAAAAATGTCATTTTTAAGACCTGAAGGGGGATCTTTAGGAAACTCATTGCAGAGGGATTAATCTCAAAGGAGAACCTGGAAGCACAGGCCCTCCAGAGAGGACAGTCCTAGCACTGGGAGATGGTGAGGATCTTTGCCCACTTGTTTTTTTCTTCACAACAGAATTTCTTTAAGCAAAAAAGTGGCAGCAGATGATCTGTCCCCCCTCCATTTAGAGCTGCTTTGCCTCCTGGCTGCTGGCAAACCTCATTGAATAGTTTTTCTCTGGACCCAGCAGTGCAAAATGCCCCTGTACTTTTGTAGCCATGGGAATTCAGGACTATTAAGAACAGTGGTAATTGGAATGTTATTTCCATATAAAGCTTAAATGTATTTTAAAGTCAGATTCATAAATCTACTGAATTTGTCGCTGCTGAAGTGTTTTGTGTTGGTTCCTTTTTTTCCCTGACATTAAATCAAAAGGACTAGTAAGAACTTGTCAGTCTTATGAAAAGTTAATCAATTTTCAATACAAAGGTAGACAAAGGGAAATTTCCATCTTTAGAAGATTGATCTTGGAAGTTATGGTTGATCTCACTTTTATTGAACATTTTTACTTGCTAGGTGAAGGGTCATTTTTTTAGCATTATTACTTTGAATTGCTTCAATATAATGGGCCAAGACTAGAATAGTAAATGCAAGAGTCCTTGGACTACAACAAAAAGCTTTCCTGCCTGGAAGATGCAACATTTCAGCAGTTTTCTTCTTGTTTTACAATGCATTCAGAGAACCCAACATTTCCATTATGCTTAGGTCTGATTCTGACTATTTGCTAACTTGGGTGCACGAGTTCTTAAAGCTGTCTTCATTTTTCACATAGAATGTATGAAATGTTTAGAATACATAAGAAACAAACTGTCAGGGGCTGGAAAAACACGTTAGTGTTGAATGTACCATCCAGTCTTGCTTGTTCTAGTCCTAAAAGCAAGGAATAAAACTTTGTCCTCACTGACAGAGGAGAGAGGAAAAATCAGACTTTCCTTTTTTTCCTGTTGAATATGTGTTTTTCAATAGATGTGCAATGTGAAAATGTGTTTCGCTGCTGCTGAAGGAAGAAGGTCCTCACCCTCAATAGCCCATGGCCTTGAGGAGCTGCAGGAATG